TTTATTAATATTCAGGGGCGGATGTAGCATTTTGTGACGTTTGAAAGCTTACTTCTAGACATGGAGCTAATTCCAAACATTTAAATGTTTATGGTTATTCTATACCAGATTGTTTTCGCAAAAAATTGCGGTGATTAAAAAGCATGAGAACAAAAAATCCTAAAATTTTAGTTGCAACTACCCCAAACGAGAGAGCAACAACTTGATAAAATATTTTTTTACTCAACTAAATTCATATTCATTGATTTAAATCGATGAGTTTAATTCATCTATAAAATTCAATTGTTTAGTTTTTACAAAAAGATAGAAAATAAATTAAAAACTTTAGAGGATTGTGTTTTACAAAAAGATAGAAAATAAATTAAAAACTTTAGAGGAAATTTTCTTTAAAATATTTAAAAGTGCAGATCCAAAGCAATTCAAAAGACGCAAGAAAAAGTCTTATCTTTCGTCCAATAAGAGCCAATTTAAGATTAAGTTAAGTTATCGTGAACTTACTAACACATGAAGTAGGAAAAAGTTTAAATACGCTTTTAAAATACAAACAATATTTTTTAAAAACATTTACTTAGGAAAAGGATTGGTGTATATGCAACTTTTAGAAAACCCAAGCTGACAACCACAGATCGGCTTGCAAAACCAAGTGGTGTAAGAGGGAAAATCAGGTGGTCTTTAGAAAAGTAAAAGCAAGTAATTTTCAGTGATAAATGTAACTTTAAGTTAATAAATATAAAAAGCAAAGTTTTTGTAAAATTTTAAAATCTGAATATTATAATTAAACCAAGGTTGCATGCGGTGGGAATGTTGATATTGATACTGCTGTAATTTTAACGGAGTAGGTGTGTAAACAGTTATACAGGTTGACTCAATTAACACGCCAATATAGTGACGCTAGAGAACTGCATGGTTCCATCGTGGCAGATTCAACAAGGTATAACCTTTGTCCATACACCTTGTACATTCAAAGTATGGATGAAAGAAAATAGTAGATTTATTCTCCTGGCCAGCTTAATTACCAGATTTGAATCTATTTGGGCTTGGAAGGACAAAAATTAGTCAAGATGTAAAATCCATGAATAGCCTAAAGCAAGAGCTTTAATATCATTTGGAAAACAGTTCCAACCAATATTTGTAATAATATTGTCAAATCTGTTCGAAAAAATACGTGGGTAATAGCTACTAGTTATTCATACTTGTTTACATTTTTGTTATTATGCTTTATAACATTTTTATATACAATTATATTTTAGCATTTCAATGAAGATGCAAGGTTTGGTTCACAAAAATTTTTTTTGTTAAAAGTAAAAAATTAAAGAATTAGTTCAATAGAGTAAAACAGAGTAAAATGAAACAGCGAGTAGAATGAAATAGTTATGACAATGTTTATTCTTTCGCTCTTAATTATTGAATAATCTTTTTGCAAATATTTGTAATGTTCTAATGTTCAACATTTCTAATGTTGTAGAGAAAACTTTTTTGAGTAAGATGATGTCAAATTTTATTTTTAATAAAAAAATATTGTTTCAAATTGTTAAGTTTTAGAATGTGTAATAAGATTTTTTTTATTATTTTGAAAAATGAACTTAAAACTCTCGGAAATTAAATTTGATATCATTGAACCTAAGAGGTTTTATGGTACAACTTTTTATGCTGATCAAGAATCTTTTTTCAAAATTAAATTTGCTATTTAGGAAAAAAAGTTATGAGTAAAAAACGGAAAAGGAGAATTGTGGGTTTAAATGAAATACGCTAACAATAAGTGAAGCAGTTCTTAAATGCAGCTTTATTTAAAATTAATTCTCAAGTGACCAATAAATCTCCAGCTATAAGTTTTTGTATAAACTTCAATGAACGAATTTTTCTATCTGAACTTAAATTTTACTAGTTACCGACTATTTGCAACACCAAGGTCAATCTCATTTGTTTTCGAATGGTACACCAGGAAGAGATTGGTATAGACTTTTCATAAAACGGTGGAGTCATAAGTTGAGCATCAGAGGCAGTGGCAATATTTCATCACTCAGAGCCGCTTCTTGCACCCAAGAAATAGTAGCAAAGAATTTCAACACACTGCAAAGAGAATTCAACATAGCAGGTTTTAGCGAAAACACTCCATGTCATTTGTGGAATTTTGATGAAATTGGCTTCTCTGGTGATCAAGGTAAGGAACACATAGTTTGCCGGCGTGGTGCAAAGCGGCCATTGAAATTGGTTGGCAACAATTAAAAAATCCATTATACTGTTGGAAGTTGCATTAATGCTGCTGGCAATCGTCTTGCTCCATACATTATTTTTAAATCAATAGAACGTCTGTACAGAGATTGGTGTGTAAGTGGTCCAGATGATGCCATATACGCTATATCTCCATCCGGATGGATGGAAGATAAGCAATTTGTGCAGTGGCTCACAAAAGTGTATATTTCCGCCATTAAGAAAATTTCAGATAATTAGTTTAATCTAGTTATCTAATTTTAGGTATTCATATTTTAGTCGTAGATGGACATGTAACACATGTAACTTATCGGGTCATACTTATTTGCATCGAAAACAATATTTTGTAAATTTGCTTACCAGCTCACTCGTCGGACATTCTAGATGCCACTAGATGTTTGTGTTTATTGCCATGTCAAAAGAGTTTGGCGCAAGTTACTTCAACAGTTTTATGCAGAGACAAAGTTCAGCAACTTATCAAAAGAATGTTTTAGTCACCTGCAAAAAAAACTCTTCAGCTCTGGTGAGGTTTTTACGCGCACCCAAATAGTCGCTGGGTTTCAGAATACTGGCTTTTTTCCACTCGACATTAATAAATTAGATAAGTCAAAGTTGCAAAAGGCTATTACGTTTGAAACATTGTCATCTGAACCTGAGCCTTCATTATCTCAACAACCAGAATCCATATTAGTGCCATCGCCAGTGCTAGCACCAGGAACTGCACTACCTCAGCCACTGCCCTCTGAATCTACACCAGCATATAGCATCAGCTCCAAAGTCACCTCAAAAGTCACCCTTTCTGCTAACAACCTTCAATATTGTAGTAACTCCATCTATTCGAAAAGAAATTCAAAAAGAGGTTGAAAAACAACTGCAATCAGCCCAATCGCTCGCAGTAGCTTTGCAACAAATGTTTCGTATTCAATACATTGACACACAAAAAAGAAAATATGTAGATGTGTCAAAATTCGAAGGGGAGTGTCTCAACAAACCTGAAATACTTGAAAGGTTGAAAGATGCTGAGAGCAAAAAAGCAACAAAGCAAACTAAAAAACAACGTAAGTTTAGCTTTAATGGCGAACAGCAAATAAACCAAGCAACAAGTCCAGCCAAAATATTAGCTGCAAACCAAATCAAGTGTAAAAAGTGCCGAAAAGTTTTAGGCGAAGCTTCAGCAAGTCAAAATAGTGAATGGAACCAGTGTGAAAATTCAAATTGCAAGGTTTGGTTTTGCTTTGGTATGCATTTCAAACATGCATACCAAAGCGATACGTAAAAGGCGCTGAGTTTTATTGCAACAAAAAGTGCCACACAACTGAAAACTCAACTCAACCTCTAGCACCTCTAAACGACTCAACATCATCACGAGAATAAAAAAGTTTTTTTATTTGATTGATTTTTTAATGTTTATTATTGATTGTTTTTTTATTTGTTATTGCTGATTGCTTTTTGTTTTTTTAATAAGGTATTGTTTTAATTACACATACATTTGCGTATTTTATTCGTATGTAGGTGTAGAATGGAATAAATTTTTATTAATCAAGTAAAGTTTTATAAAAAACTTTATTATTTTCTTTTTTCAAATACTCAATATTCTCAATATTCATTCAAATACTCAATATGCTCAATATTCTCTTCAACTTTAACGAAAAAATAAAAAAAAAAAAATTTTTCAGTAAAAAATAAATAATTAAAATCCTCAACTATTCTATTTGACCCCATTTTAATATATCTCCTTTAGTTTCTATTTTATATTTTATCGTGAAAAATGGAAATGCTGCCATACAACCACTTTTAAAATCATTAACAAAATCTCCATAATTATCAATTTTACTGTCTCCATGTTTTTAGTATTTATGTCATTAAATGGTTTTTTCGAAACAAATTACTCCATATCCAATGCAATGCATGCTTAAACCTTCACAAAAATTTTTTGTTACTGAGGCAAATCAGTGCCATGATATTGGCTGATATTGTCATTGGTTTAAAGAAAACAAAGTTGTTAAGGAAACAGTCTTATAACACGTTATTCTCACCAGTGGCGGATTGAGGTTTAGTGTCGCGGGGGGGGGGGGGGCAAGTCAATAAATAGGGGCGACCGGGGTTGCCTTCAGTAATTTAATCTTATATATATATATATATATATATTTTAATTGTTTTAGGGGGCGCCGTTAGACCGTTCTAGGGGGCGTGGGGGCAGCTCGCCCCCCCCCCACGCCCTATACTAAATTCGCCACTGATTCTCACCCAAATTATCTGACAAAATCCATTGCAGATTTTGGTTGTTACAACTTATAACATGAAAATAATGCAGGAAAAAATAAATTAAAAAATTTTTTTTTTCCGTAAAAAATAAATAATTAAAATCCATTTGACCCCATTTTGCTATATCTCCTTTAGTTTTTATTTTATATTTTATCATGCTGAATTAGTCAATAGAAAAGCCATGCTAAAAAGAGCCATGCAGAATTAGTCAATAAAATTAATAAAGAAGAACTAAAGGTTTAAATGAAAATTTTTATATAAAAACAATTTTGTTTTAAGAAAAACGAAGAAAAACATTAGTTTTATTATTGTCAAACTATTTATTAAAACTTGAAAGTTTATGAATAACGAAAATATATAAAAACACATAAAATAGAAACAAAGATAAAAACACACACTCACAAAAAAAAGTCACAAAAGTATTTAATTGCTATGTAACTAAGTAAATAAATAAGTCTTAAATAAGAATAATAATAAAGATTTTGCCCAACATCAGATTAAAATAAGTAATTTAAGCGCCAACATTTTACATTGAATTTTGTATTTTAAACATTTTTTTACTGTTTAATGGTAATAAATATTTATTACTGATTAATTTCTCTCGGAAAATACCAGTTCACAAAATCTTTATAAATACATTCCATTAATAAGGTAGTCCCCATCATCGACCGCAACTTTCTTTGGTTTACCTCGTCGACTACATTTGACATGATATATGAGACCAAAAAGAAAGAGCAATGAAATAACAAAGACCACTATCAAAGGTACAGAAATGAAAGGTTGTTCAGTTTTACCAATTATACTATTAATATAAGCACGAGGAGTGGAGTAAGAATCAATTATATGTTCTTCACCTAAAACAAATAAATAGACAATATTATTAGTAATACTTATTATTTAAAATTCTATTAATAATATTTAAATAGATTAGTTTTGAATATACTTATAATTTATTCTTCATATTAGAAATATATCAAATTAAAAAAGAAAATTAAAAAATACTTTGACTTACCTGGTTTGTCTTCCCAAGGTCGCTTTTCGGACTGATAATATGGATCACTTGAGTTGTTATGATTTGAAATTTTTGCAAGAAGATTCTCTCTTGGTGCCTCTTGTTCTTCTGACGCAGAAACTGTAAGCTCTTGTTCATTGTGGTTTGCTTGTTCTTTTACTTTAGAAACTTTGATATACAAAAATAATTAACCAATTAAAGAAACAGAGCATTTTTAAAAAACAGTTTAACGTATTTACAGAAAAAAAAAAAAAAAAAAAAATTCACAGATCACAAATTAGATAAATTCGCAGAACAGAATCTTTAGAAAAGAAATACCTTGGAAATCTTGCTTATCTGATATTTGAACTTGCTCGTTTCGATTTACATTTACCTTTTCTATCTTTTTCTCTTCAGAAACTTTATAAAAAAATTAACTTTTTAAAACTTTTTCATATATAAAAATAATTTACTTAAGTTAAAAAACTATATAATACATTTACAAAAAAAAGCACAAATGAAAAAAGAATGAATCATACTAATTCAGAGAATAGAAGCTTTTAAAATTGAAAAATAAACCTTTGGGTTTGCAATCTGCTTTTTCACCAGTCTTTGTATAAAAAACTGCATTACAACCTCCACAAAAATTATTTTTGCACATTGCAGATGCGTCTCCAGGACATGATGCCTTTGCACAGGGAATGTACGAGCACATCGCAACTGGAGTTCCCGATGGACATTCTAATATTAGTGTAATAATGTTTTACATTAAAAACTATATATTTAAAATCAGTGTAATTATAAATGAATGAAACTAATGTAAATATAAATTTATACAAAATAATTTAAAAAATTATACTCTAAACTTAAATGTTCCTTTTTCAAAAAAAGGAAAAAAGAAATATGCATCCAACAAAAAAAGCTGAAAGCCGGATCACACTAAATTATTAACAGCATGCCAAACAATTTTATTATTATTTATTATGAGCTGGCGTTAAAGTAAACTTGCATAACAACAATGTTACAATACTGATTTAAGTGCGAAACTAGGGTCAGATGAAGTTTTAAAATTTTATACAGGTCAATAAATTAAAAATTGGCTACTTGGCTACCAAATCTTTAATGTATATAATACTTAACGATACATATAAACTTTCTTTTGCAAAAAATGCAGTATATATGCATCAATTAAGTTGGTAATCAAAGTCTTTGCTTCTTTAGCAACATTAAAAATTCAACTTTGCTGCATAACTTTTATTTTGGTAAACTCTATATGATTTTCATAGAGTTGCATCTTTTTCTCTTGTCTACAAATAATACCATGGTTACTGCTTAAGCAAGTTATCTACACTTGTTCCATTATATAAAACTCTACACTTGTTCCATTATATAAAACTCTTGTGTGAGTTCTCATCAAAATCACATTCTTTTACTGTAACTGTTCTTTTATGAGAGAGGATCTCATTAGGAGAAGTAACCCAAATATTACAAGTCCAGTAGGCATGTTTTAGACGTCTAAAAAACGTATTATACATATTAATGCATGTTTTAGATATCTAAAACATCTGTTGTGCCCATTGGAACAGTATTCTATACTAGAACAAATGAGAAATTTATAGAGGTAGTGAGCGGAATTAGGAGTAAGAAAATAGGGAGCAGGATGGTTTTTATGAGAGGTCAGTAGTTAACCGTAATTCTAAAAGACATAAAGTAGAGGACTCAGTAAGTGTATTGCCATTATAGGATGTTATATATGTTTTTTATGTTATAATTGTCAATATATACATCTTGTTGACTCATACAAAATAGTTTTTAAACTTATTTATTTATTTCAACCACATTTATTTTATTTTAACCTCTTCAAACTTCAATACCTAACTTCAAGTTTTTAAAATTCTTTTATAAGTTTTTGTTGAATTTTTGTGATACAATCAGCACATATCTTTATGTATAACTTTATTTCTTGAATATACAGTAGCGTGCAAAAGTTTAGAAACACCTACTTTTTGAAATTTTGAAACCTGAAATTTTGACCGAATGTGCTCTGTATTATTACAATTCAAAATCCATTTCACAAAACTTTTAGAACTCACAGGTCAATTAATTTTAATTATTTTTTTGAAAAGGCTTCCGTGCAAAAGTTTAGAAATAGCTGAATTTGGGTTATTATTTATTTCAATAAAGCTGAAATATTTACTAAAACTTTCAAAATTTACAATTTTTCAATAAAATAGTTTCAATAAAAAAGTTAGTATTTGGTGGCATATCCATTTAAAAGTGGCATATCTTTAAAACAGCATCAAAGTGACAAGGCATTGAATCAACTAAATTAATGAGAACAATACTCCCAAAGATGCTCAATGGGATTGAGATCTAGGCTCTGTGAAGGCCATTCAAGAACTTTGACTTTTTTTGATTGAAAATATTCATTAACAGATCTGGCACAATGCTTTGGGTCATTATCTCAATGCTTTGGGTCATTATCTTGTTGAAAGATTCAAATGCGGTAGTGGTGTAGTGGTAGAGCGCTCGCTTCATAAACGAGTGGTTCCGAGTTCGATCCCCACCACGTCCCTGGTAGTACCGCGCTCAACTCGTTTCTCCGCGCAGCGGCCTTGTTCATCAAGGTTCGTGTTTCGGAGTTATAGAGTTGAGAGAGGGCTACAACCACAAATAAGTAGCCTCCTTGTCTGTAGTGGCCTTCTCGGCCTTGAGGAGGTGAATTTAATAAAATTTTAATAGTAGGTAACTGATATTTTGGATTGAATCTGTCTCCTATTGGACGTCTGACATATCTAATTCTGTCACTACTGAATAGCATAAACTTTGCTTAATCGGAGAAAAGGACTTTTGACCAATCATTAACTGTCCAACTGAGATGATCTCTCACAAATTTTATTTTGGTTCTTAAATTTCTGGCAGATATAAGAGGTTTCTTAACTGGATGGCGACCATACAGATTATTTTTTTGTAATCAATGTTTAGTTATATCAACACTACAGTTTATGCAATGAAACTGATGCATAATTGAATTAAGTTCGACAGCAGTCATGCAAAGATTATTCTTGCAATACCTTACTAATAATCTATCAGCCTTTTCAGTTGTAACTTTAGGTCTTTCATAGCTTTCAATAGTTTTGCGCTGACAAAACCTTTTCATAATGTGACATATTCCTGGTTTAGAAACATTGTAAAGTTCAGAAATCCTTTTGTAAGTCTTTTTTTTTTCCCCACAGCTTTTATAATTAATTTCTTTATTTCATCTGAGACTTCCTTAGCCTAAACTTTTGCATGAAAGTCTTTTCAAAAAAATAATTAAAATTAATTGACCGGTGAGTTTTAAAAATTTTGTGAAATGGATTTTGAATTGTAATAATATAGAGCACATTTGATAAAAATTTCAGGTTATTTAAGAAAGTTTGTGAAAAGTTATATGCTAAAAACTGAAAAAAAGTAGGTGTTTCTAAACTTTTGCACGCTACTGTATTAGTAATATATTTCTTTTTCAATATCTTCACTTCCAACAAGACTGAGAGCAAACACTATTAGAGTTGGAAGTTACTGGAAAAGAAAAGATCAAAATTATTGAGCAAGATAATGATTAGCAGACAACTTAAAAGATTGCAAATTATATGAATCAAGAAAACATGATGAAGGAAGTAAATTCCAAAGGACTGATGTTCAAGGAAAAAAACTAGACAAATAAGTATTTTTGGAGCACTTAGGAACAGTCACAGCAAAAGAATGAGACTTAATTGAATGACAACACGAGAATGAATTTTAGTAGATGGCACAAGAGATGCTAGCCAATTATAGTATTTATAAAAAAGAGAAAGAAAAGCAACATTATGGCAATGTGATAATGGTTGGAGGTTGGCTGCAAGAGCAGTTCAAACTATGTTTGCAATGTGTTTTTGAACCTTGCCTAAAAAAAAAAGGCATCATTGGAAAATCTGCCCAAAAAAAGGCAACAGTATTCCATACAAGGACAGATTTGAGATTTATAAAGATAAAGACTAGAGCCCTGAGTAAGAAAGTGGTGAGCACAATAAAGAGATGCAACCTTAGCAGATGCTAATTTTGCAATCGATTTGATATATGGTTTCCAAGAAAGATCGGAAGTTAGAGTTAATCCTAAAAGATAAAGGGTAGATGTCTCATGCGATAAGTATTAGATGGAAAAAAATTTAACTTTATCTGAGTTATAGTTCACATAAGTGAAGTAGAGAAGGTAAATGATTTGGATTGTCTAGAAAGCAAGTTGGAAAGCTGACTATTTGTGTTAGAAATTAAAAAAGGCAAAAGTTGTGGGCCTTAACACCTACAGAGTCGCTGACACTAGAGCCACCAACCCATTCAATGTGAAGAGCATTAAAGTCACCAACAACAACAATATTCGCTGAAGGATAAAAAAAAAGGGCTAGCTCAATTTGATCAAAAATAACATCAAAAAGAGTACAGTCTTACGATGAAGGAGAGCGATATAGAACAAAGAGAAAGACAATAGAGTGAAGTGGTGCTAAACAAAAACACATAAAAGAAAAGTTAGTGGATTCAAACCTAGTTTCCTGATAAATGAGTGAATTCTTACTAGATGCCCAGGCTTATGTAGATCTTATGTAGATGCCCAGGCCAATTATGTGACTATTGGAGTCTTTACGAATTAAACGAAGATAACCATCAACACTAAGATTAAAAGATGAAACAGCTGAACTCAAATTAGTCTCACAAAAAGCAAGTAGGTCTAATGAACTTTGCAAGAGATAAGACTAAACAGAAGAAAAGTTACTTTGAAGACCACAAATATTAGTGAATAATAGGTTTAGAGAACTTGGTGATGAAGATGGATTCTTGAGTTTTATAGTTTTTGGTACTTTAGTCATTTTTAAATTTCAAAGAACTTGACTCAAAGCACAGATACTACTCAGTACACTATTTAATAAGCAATTGCCTCATTACTATTAATAAATACTACTCAGTACACTATTTAATAAGTCCAAGTAATTGCCTCATTACTATTAATAAACCCTAAGCCATAATAAATGGGCTCCAAATGTGGACTCAACATACCAAAAGTATGAACAGGGGTACCATCCATGAGCAACATGGCACTGTTAGTACTCTGATATTTTACAGCTGTTGATGGAATCAGTCTCTCTGAGAGCTACCACAGAAACCTGTGGGAAACCTGACTACCAGCCGGTCTCAGAACCATAAAACTGAGTTTTAGAGCTGTACCCTCATTAGGAGATAATAAAATGAGTTGCCTAGTCATAAAAACAGAGACACAAGCAAAACCCATGAATTGAAACCCAAGAAGATTCAACATCCTAAACAATACATTATAAATACATCTGTGCCAACCTAATAGATGAAGAAGGGGTGCGGGGCAGCTCAACAAATAGAATCTGTTTATTTCTTAAGTCTTTGCCTAGGAGACCTTTTACAAGACAGTAGCTGGATGCATTTAATGTCTGCCCATAATTATTATTTTTATCAAGACACCATCTCTAGCCTTTACTCAACCAAGACCCCATGACAGGGGGTGTTTTAAGTCGGAGTTGGCTTCTGCTAGCCTTTGCCTAGGAAAGTGTATACTATGAGGCAGCAGGACATGAAGCAGGGTGTAGAGAGTTACATGTTACCAGTAGCAGGATAATCTGACCTGATAGACCAGTTTATACATTCTATATATTTCTTACTGATACATTAGCTTAGTGATATATTATGATAAATGGCTG